TGCGAGAATGCAATCAGGTCCTTACGAGAGGTACTTATTGCTCGAGGTTATACGATTACAAGCCTATAAAAGAAATTATTAGTTATTGCTCTCTTGCTTGCGACGTAGTAATTGAGTTGGAATAGAGTCATAATGAATATTACTTAGATTGAAATATTAAGAAAATTTTGGTTTGCATCATGAGTGATTCTAGGAGAAATGATTTATAAAATGGTAACAATGTACAGCTTCTCAGCAAGTGAGAAATTGATTGGAAGCAATTCAAATAAGAAGAGGTGGCAATACTCCTTTCCCTCTTTCGGCATATATATTTCCTAGAAGTCAGTATCCATGACGATGGAGGCCGAAGACGCTGCTAAATTGGTGTAATCATTTTGGCTAAAATTATGCCACTTTGGACACATATTCCAAGAAGAGTAAACGCGGATGTGCGCGAAAACTCTTTCAAATTGTACCATTGATTTCCATAAATTGCTCGGTATAATTCTAGAAGATGTCTTATTTAAGTTGGCACCAACAGCATCGTGAACCTTAATCTACACAATCTTGAAATTCTAGTACTTGAAGGCAAAGTTCACTCCCAACAGCACCCCAATTTTTAAGAAACACATTTTAAAGTAATCACTGAAATTATTGTTATATAAATTGTCCTGGTATTGTCAAGTCATGCCTTCAACATTAATTCCAATGGAAAAGGAGAGAGTGGAGGGCGAAGAACAGTAATTAACTAATGAGACAACGATGTCACAAGTCTTTCGATACTTAAGTTCGGAAACATTGAGTTATCCATTCCATCGAATTGATAATATAGACTAGTGATAATTCCCTTCACACAGAACATGCCATAGTGAGGTACCTTGTCACCCCACGTTACCAGAATACTAACCTCACTCTTAGCGGAATTGGAACGCTAATTCATAGAACATCCACAAGGCAATTTAAAGAAGACGCTATGTAGGAAATTATGTGATCGTAGTAAAGATATATTAAAAGAGACAAAGTAGGGTAAAGTGAAATAAAAAAGAGTGGGAAAGACGATTTGGTCCCTGTAAGTATAATCAGGGGCTGTGCGTTTCATACGGCTTCTTTGCACCAGGTATTTCAAGATTTGAGTAAAATTCAACATCATCAATAGTTTCCCCCATACTTTTAAACACGTTGAATTCGCTGTTTAACCAGGTTTGTAAATCACTCACAGCATTATCATCACCATTATTATCATCATCATCAGAATCCGCAATCGAGCCATGCAACTCATTCACAACAGTATCATTGTCGTCGTCGTCATCATCACCATTACCATCAAAATCTACAGT